GTTGCAACCAATGTTTTATCATTTTTAAAAAGAGGGAAATGTAAAAAAAGACAAGACTTGGGCTGCAGGCAGCTGCTCCCCAACTTTGTGTGAGACGGTTGGGACCTGCTGCAGCCCCTAAGGCCTCCTCCCTCGGCTGTGGCTGCTCCCCAGGCAGACCCTACCTATCTCCTGGGAAAGCCACAGGCCTGCGGAACATCAAGGCAACACAGATAACGCGGAATCTCCCTTTCAAGTTTCCTCCAACTCCATTTTTGGAGCTGCAGATAAAGTGCGGGAGATTTGTTTACATTTGCCTAATAAGGTCGAGCGGTCCGCTTTCCACCCGGTTAACAGCTGCAGGCAGACACACAACCACCCGCCCACTCACAATGACAAGCGGGCTGTTCTCAGACCGTGCTGTGCTTGACTCCACGAGGCAGGAAGACCGAATGCCAATTAGTACATGAATTCTTGCCATTCCAGCTGGTCACCCGTGACCATCCCACCCAAGTACTGATTCCCCCAATTTGTCAGGGTTTGATATCAGAGTTCTGCCCATTTTACATGGGCTTTTACATGTTACTGCTCATTAGCTCCCAATTCCAGGTCCTCTTCAGGTTAGCTTTTCTCTTGCCTTAGAGAAAACCCAGCAGAATTAAGAACAAGATGAAATGTGAGTTGATGTAGTCAAAGGGTCGAATCATTAGAAGCCCTGAGTACTAATAATCCAAAATAGCACTTTCTGTACCCTCATTCCACAAATGTGAAGAAGAGAGATGATAACATAGACCTTTGCCTAACAGCTCGGCTTAAAGATCCTGTGATATTATTATAAGGAAAGTGTCCCTAAGGTGTAAAGTGCTTACGATATTATTGTGCTTTAAATGATATTGGGATAGATATTCAATAGGACAATCTGGGACATATATACATTTTCCTTTGGATGTGGAATAATCTTTGGGTGAAAAATAAAAATGTTTACTCCCCTATTCTTCTAAGTAGACTTGATAGAAAGACAAAGCCCATGCCTTACCTAAAAAAGCAATTTGTAATCAATAATTAGATGATGCCCTGGGCAAAGTGGACCTTTAGTCTGACCGAGGGCCTTTTGTGTGATCAATTTTTTGAAGAAAAAAATTAAATTTCTAAATTACAAACTAACAAATGAAAATGGGAAAATCAGAAAAAGTATAAAGAAGAAAAAAATTAGGCTATTCATCATCCCACATTCTACTTATAACCACTGTTAACATTTGTTGTATTTCAGCAAGGTTTTATGAACTGCAATCAATGTAGTATTTGGATTTTTTCTATTTAGATTTAGAATTTCCTTTCCTGAAGACAGCAATGATGTTATATACATGGTCTATTCATAGTAATGTTCTGGTTTAAATTCTACTATGTAAGTTGTCTATATAAATGAAAACTCCAAATTTAGCATTTCCATCACTGGTACATGAAATGACTCTGAGGACAAACTTTACAGTCTAAAAAATGGTCCATCTGCCTTTTTTGCTTTGTCCAGCTCCCCATGAGACTCTTTATGAGGAGAATCTGCCACCCATAACTTTTTCTTTTGTTTTGATCTTTGTGGCAATTATAAAGAGACCAGAGTGGCTGGGAGGGAGAAAAGATGGTAAATATTAGCCTAAAGCAATTTCTGCAAATTAGCAGTTTGCAGCATTCTCTGTGAGCAAATTCATATAGGTAGATACATTTAAAATAAATGACAATAGATTCGGGACCAAAGGTAAAGTGTCAGATTGACATAGCTGTCTACCCAGGAATTAATTTTGAAAAAAAAGTCAGCAGTTTTCATTTAACCTCTTGAAAAGGTTTATGCGCTGTCTTTCCCTAACCACAGGATACAGAAAACACAACCACAGGACTATTTACTCTTTGAATGTTTCATAAGATATTAATAACGATAGCAACAAAAGAACCTGTACTAAGATTAAAGTTTAAGAAGCTTTAAAATATTTTTAGCTCTTTTCATCTGAAATTGTTTAGACTACCGTTAGAGAAACCTTTCAACAGTTTCCTTACTGGAAAGAGTTGAGACACTTTCAATGCCAAGGTTACTAGGGTGATTTGGTTTATAAGTTTCCTTTAAAAGAAAGAGAGAGGGTGAAGGAGGGAAGAAATGAAGCAGCAGAAGCGAACACCTGTCAACCAGAGAGGGCTGAGAAAACAGACAATTTTGTGGAGAAATAATAGGAAGATTTAATGATAAAGTTTAGATTGTGCACCCTCATTTCTAGAAATGAAATTGGTTTGTTCGGTGTACCTGGGAGAAGTAGGCTCTGTCAATAGGCCCTCCCACAAATCTCCTTGGCAAACAACCAAGTCCTGTGGCCCTCAGCATGGTAACCTATTACAAGTCTTTTTAAGTCAACTGTCCATGAAACCTCACACAAAATCCTGTAACAGGAAGTCACAGAAATAGAAGAGAAAATGCACCTGCTGAAATGTAAGAAGCTTTCAGATAATGTGATGGCAATCCAATAACAGGAGTCAGGAAAGGATATACAGAACAGTTCTTGAATCTGAGTCCAGGTTAGAAATCTGGACAGTTGTTGAGTCACTATAACTACATCAATGGAATGAGCTGGAACTCTTCTGGGGCAAGAAATCCAATGGGAGGCAGCAGCTTGCCCTCTCCTTGTTCTCTTAGGCAAAAAACAAAAAAAAACAAAAAACAAAAAACCAGCTGTGGGCTCCAATGGGCTGCTCTGGCTGGGGTTGGTACCCTATAAGGACTTTTTTTTTAAGATTTATTTGTGCATATAAGAAGTAGGCCAGAGGTGAGGGGGTGAGAGGATTCACCAGGGACAGAGTGGGGAGCAGAACAGGAAGATCTACTGAAATATACTGCTGAGGGGAGCAGCAGGCGAGACAAGAGAGGTCTGCTGCACCTTGTAGGTAGCTCGCTGGCCAGGGATCGAACTCTTGCTTTAGTGACTGCAGATTACTTCGTAGTGCTGTGACTTAACCCCTTGTGCCACCAGGGAGGCTCCCTCCTATAAAAACTTTTAATGTCCATTCAAAATGGCAACAAGTCCATGCCTGCGGTGAGTAACAGGGCAGCACTGGAAAAGAAATCTCATTCTCAGAGAGCAGGTCTCATTCTCTTGGCCTGTTACAGGGGAGGACTAGAGGAGCTGTCTTTAAGGAGCTTTCCAGTTCTGAATTTGTGTATCAAAACAGGGGGAGTTGGATGCCAACAGGAGAGAAGACATTTTTATGTGATTTGACCCCATCCTGTCTCAGTACTTTCAGAAATCACTATTACAGACTTTTGGAAAGAGAAGCACAGAACTCATTAAAACCCAGGGAAATTATTTGCACATGACCTGAGAAGTAGCTGGAGCCTACAATTCCCTCACAGAAGAATGACTTACTGCCCAGCATGTAAGCCTCTTCCAGTGACCTAGAGGAGAAGCAAGGACATTTCTTTAGGGAGCATCAGATACATCTCACGGTAGAAACGGTTGCAATCACATCAAGTAGATTGTGCAGGCAGGTCCATGGAGTGTGGCCTTCTTCAAGCACAAACCACATCAAAACCTACTCAGGTTTGTGCTGGATGATTTTGCAACTGTTTGTTAAAACAACAAACCAATGTGATTCAACACTGGTCTTTTACCGTCAGCAGTGTCAAGTCCTGACCTGTCTGTACCAAATCCACAGCTAAGATCTAAAGGACTAACTACTTGTACCACAATACAACTTAGGTTGGGAGAGGGCTGGGGATAGGTCCACAGTGGCCTATTTTGTTGCTGTTCTAGTTCAGAGCTACTTCCAGATGAGGGAGACATATTGCCAAAGTCAGGAAGCCATATTGCCCAAAATCTACTAAAGCAATGTTTCAGTCTAAAGTAAGGGCACACAATAAAGCTTAAAGGTTATAGCAGATCTGTTTTCTTGATTCAATTGTGAATTTTAATGCAATTGCCAGGAAGTCAGGCTTTGACTTTAAATGAGGTAGATCTTTATCTTTTGGGTTTTTGCTCTTTTTTGGAAGTCCTGGGGGGGGGGCACATAATCCCTTCATCATGGAACAATGTCTAGGCCATGTTGGGCAGTGAGAAGACAGGCTGACCACAGACCTAGGACTCAGGGCTTTAGTTTCTAATGGGGATGGCGAGGGGGTGCTGCGTTGAGAGGTGGTGGAAGAGGCTGCAGAGTAGCCACGCAGGCCTCAGGTGGAAGTATCTCTAGATGTCCAGCCATAGGGGCTCTACCGAGAAAGCAAAATGGACCAACGATGTAAGAAAATTTATAAGTTTAATTAAAACCAAAATTATTCCTTTTTGGACCTATTTCCACCTCTGTAAAAAGAGCGACATTAATAGCCCACCATTCCCCATCTCCCCAACTTTGAGAAGTCATTTCTGCCCTATCATTTCTTTGGAGGACGTTTGACCTGTACAGACTTGTCGAGCCAGACCCCGTGTGCTAACGCACGCGAGTTACAACGACACGTACCTGCGAGGTGTGCCCGCAGCGACTCAGGTGTCCCCACCCCCGCGGTCTTTCAGGCCAGCCCCCAGGGATGCTCCCCTCCGGGAGGAAGCAGTGAAGGAGGTTTTCAAGATCCAGGGCGGGCTGCGCGCTTCTTGCACCCTTGCAAGACTCAGGGCCATGAGGGTGCGCTGTCATCTCCTCCCACCACCCTAGACCTTGGCCCAGGGGAACCTGCTGGAACACTGGTGGCAGGCGCGGCGGCCAGAGGACGCGCGACTGGACCGCGGACCGCTCAGCGGGAACGAGCCAGGGAACGAGCTAGGAAACGCGCCAGGAACAAGCCAGGGAACGAGCCAGGGACCGCTGCCGCCGCCTCCTGCAGCAGCCGCGGACTCGCGCTGCGGTGCGGCCGTGGGAGGTTCAGCCGGGCCGGCTGAGGGTGCCCGGCCGCGCCCCGGATCTCCGTTCCCCTCCCCCGTCCCCGGTGCCCCCCTGTCCTCCACCCCCGTCCCGGGCTGTGCTCACCGCCGCCTCTTCTTCCTCCCGGGCAGGCGCGCCAGGACCATGTCGGCGGAGACCGCGAGCGGGCCCACTGAGGACCAGGTGGAAATCCTGGAGTACAACTTCAACAAGGTCAACAAGCACCCGGACCCCACCACGCTGTGCCTCATTGCCGCCGAGGCCGGCCTCTCCGAGGAGGAGACCCAGGTGAGCCCCAGCGCGCACCCCTGCCCCGCCGCGCCGCCGTGCACATCCTCGCCTGGGTGGTCCAGCCGCGGTGCGGGCACCCCCGTCCTCGCTTTTAGCCTAGGCGTCCCCTCCCTCCCTTCCCCCTGTCTGATTTTCCACCTCTCGGTCCGCACCCCGAGAGCGCAGACCCTGCGTTACTCCCAGCGCCGCCCCCCCACCCCCAGCTTCCTGGCCGCATCCCTCTCCCGGCGCTTTCCCAGCAGCTGCTTAGAAACCCCCGGTTCTTGCTGGCCCACCCTCTGCGGCCCGGCACCCGGGCTGTCGCTCCCTAGGATTGGGAGCAGCGTCCCCGGCCCACTGTGGTCTGGCTTTCCCGGGTTCAGTGTCTCCTCTGGGCTGCGGGTGAAACCTGGCTGCGAGAAGCGGCTCTCGGAGCCCGGCCCCCTCTAGAGTCTACTCGGCGGGAATGTCAGAGCCGGAGGGGATCTTAACCCTCCGCTATAAACTCAGTCCTCAGGTGAAGCAAAGAGAAAACTGAGACCCAGAGTAAGGGAATTGCCTGGCTGGCAGGAATTGTTGAGCGTGCTCGTCCCACCACGTCACGCTGCAGCTTCACCTGAGCTGCAGGGCTGAGCCTGCGGGCGCCAGGGCGATGTGGTTCTGACTCCCCTTCATCGCCTGGCCCCAAGGTTTGATCTTTCCCTGGAGTTTTCCAAGAAGGTAGACATCTGCCATAACTGCAAAAGGAAATGGAAGCAGATATCCCCTTAAGTGCATCTGTTAGTTCTTAAAAGCGCCTTTTGGTCATGGAGACTAGGAAGTGGGCTAGCATCCCTCCCGTGGGTCCCAAAGCGATTCATACTTTTAGTCGCTGCTTATTCCACTCATTTTATAAGTTGGGGACTTTGTTCTTTTCACATATAAACATATCCAGTTGAATATGGATTCTAGCTACGTAGACCCCAAATCCCAAGACCACAGTAATTTTTACTAATTAAGTCAGGCTTGGAGAATTTGCCCGTAGAAAATTCTCTCATTTCTAAGTCTATAGAAAGTCAAGCATGTCTGTTTTTAGCAAAGAGAACAGCTGCCCAGCTATCAGAACCAGAACTTAATAGAAGGTGATTTACTGTTACCCAAGCCAAACAGCTGAGTTTCTTGGAACCTCTGGGGAGACAGCCCCAGGACATTTTAGCATTTAAAATCCCACGCTATATTTAGAAAAGAGGAATGATCACAGAGGCAATAATAACTTATCTTTTAAAAAGAGAGTGTGGGCTTGTTGTGTACCCAGCGCCAATGGACATCTAGCCTCTGCTCATCTGATTCTTCGTGGATAAATTACTGCCATTCTCTTACCTGTAAAGCAAAGTAATTAGACTGACCTTTGTCATGGCTAATAGGAGTCAAGTATTGCTCCAAGCACCTCCTAAGTTTAAATCGTTTATTCATAACAATGCTGTGAGGTATTTTAAATCCCATTGACTAGAAAGGGAAACTGAGACAAAAAGATTAAATAAACTTGCCTGGATCACAACTAGAAAGTAGCAGAGCTAGGATTTGAAACCTGCAGTCCAGCGCCACAATCTAAGATTTTAGCCACTTTGCTCGGTTGTCTTCATAGAACAAAAATGTAAGAAAGTGACTGGAGTGGGAGAGAAGGCTTGAACATCGATTTATGTTTTATTTTTTCTTGAAAAAAAAATCAATGTGTTAAATGAAAGTCATCCTAGGTTATATTCTGTTCTTGAGAGTCACTTCATTTTAGATACTTAAGTGATATATCAGGTGAGCAGCAAGAAGAAAGGACACCTGCTTGTTTCCCAGATTGAGGTCAACTGATGCAGACGGTTCACAGCAGGTGCATCTGCCTTCCTCAGACAAGGTTTCCTCTCTTCTGACATCCTCAAGGGAACAAACAGTAGAACCAGCCCCAAAATGAGTGGGCCTCTGATTTCCTTATCCTGCCATAAGGCCAACACCTTCTTCCTCCCTGGGGCTACCACTGCTTGGCTGGACCCTTTGTCTTCCTGCCTGGACCTGTGGGTGAGCATCTGTGACCCCAGAGTTTGGAGAGGCAAATTGTAGCAAGTTCAGGAAATCTGCCCTCCTCTACTAGACTGGGTTCTGTCATTTCACTTGCCATCCCTTTCCCCCCAAACTCTTCCAACCCTCTCCACTCCAGTGTCCAGCGGTGAGAAAGAAGAGTTTCTTCTTTCATCTTCTCAAACAGCATTTGCCTTTTTAAAAGTGTCTTTTGGAGATATAATGCCCAATATTGAACTCATAGACATCAATCAAATTATTTTTATGTATAGCTGGCCTTGTGAGACCCTTGAGATAATTCCGTAGAGTTATTAAGCTAGAGCCTTCTGGGCCTATATAGAAGTGCTGTCTGGTATCAGAACTTCTGCTTCTATCCTTTTATTAGTTTTGCTCCTTTCAAAAGGAAGGGCCACCAAAGCCAAAGTAATAGTCATTTCATATGCTTGGTCCTTCATCCCCAATCTCATATCCCTCCACAACCGAAATCAGATTCATTTTTCTAGAACAAGTAATACTTTAGTAAAAGAAAAATAAGAGAGATTCTCTAGTGAATTAACTCGGGCTTATTCACACTGCTGTTACTCTGGCAGGAGCAAGACTAAAAATCTGTAACTTTCTGGGACTGGGGGCTTTGTTGACCTCTCCCTACTGTTTGTTCCATGCAAGGAATACACTCTGCTTGGAGAAGCGCCACCTGGAGGATGCCAGAGTGAGGTGCAGCGTGTTCTCACGGGAAGAACTTTTTGCTGGGATCCTGGAATAGGTTTTTCTCATGGCAGTAGATAGCTAGCAGATTTAAGTTAGATAAGCCGTACAGAATCCCAGCCCTTGTGTCTCATATCATTTTGAAACCAGTGTTAGAAGAGGCTGGGAAATTTATTTTTCATCAGCCCTTTGGGAGGTTGAGATGATCTGGCATTTTCTATTATCAAAAATTCAAGTCGTGTAGCTGGCATTGGTTCTTAGAGAGGTTTCCAGTATTTTTATATCCTCTTGATGTCCTGGGATTATTCTCAGAACTCAGTGGTTTTAGTTGTTGGTTGTCTTATCAGTGGAATAAAGACCTCTAAAGTTCTCCCTCCTGAAAAGAATGAAATGTCAGTTACTAGAGAAAGGGGCAGGAACAATGTTATTTTGCTTTAATCCCTCCCCATCACAGTGCCTAATTATCATCTGTTTATTCAGAGTAAGTAAATCTCCATCAGCAGGAAAGGGTAATGAGGGCATTCATTTATTAGCAAGCAAGGGATGAATGTCTTTCCCAGGGGATGACTGAAACAAAGAAGAGAAGGATAAAGCCAGGTGGAAAATTAGGATCGATGTGAGTGAGATAGGATAATACTGAGCTCTAGAGGAAATAAAAGCGTGCAATGTTGGTTCCAGAGCTACCGGTTTGCTAAATTATCGTCTGCCAACTTGATTTATAATAACTTCAGAAAACCATTGAGCTTTTCTTTAACCTTGACCTGGCCCCTAGAGCTAGGACTCAATTTGTTAAGCATTTGGATGCCAACTCACCAATTCATAAATGTGGTCCTTGCTGAAGATACTTTTGGTAACTCTGCCTTTGTATTCAGCTTTATTCCTATTGTAAACATGTGGGTGGCTCTCCTGAATGGAGCCAACTCAATCATTTTGTCTAAATGAATCTTGATAGAAAATGAGACTTTCTTCCTCCAAGTTTTAATTAGTCAGCTTTTAAAACTACCATGTATTCAGCTCGAGTAGCTGGAAATCCTAATGAGTCAGACCTTGTAGCTTTGAAACCCCCCACAGAGCTGCCTCATTAATAAAACTGGAGCTGTGCAGCTCTCATACTAGATCCCAAAGTTAACTAAACCCATCCATGAATTAATGAAGAAAACACAGTAGAAATGCAGTTAAAGCTACCAAAAGCATGAGTTCCTTAGTGGTAAATTAGGGGTCCCTAGGAGAAAAGGGGGACATCGGGACACCAATGACCAAAGAGAAGTCTTGGTCCTTGTTTCTTCTGCCACCCCACAGTTTAAAGGTGTATAAGTCAACTGCCCTTGATAATGTGTAAACCCTTGTACAGTTAGGGTGAATTATAGGTGTGGTCCCTGCTGTCTAGACAGCTTAGCTTGGTGGCAAAGCCTGAAACAGTCTGGGGGGCCTTGATCCTCACAAGCATTCCTTCCCCTGTGAGTCTCACCTTTTCTTCCATTTGGGGGCTTGTGCATAAATGCCTTTCAGCTCCCCACATCTCAGCAGAGATGCAGTCTTCCCCAGCGTAACCTGAGAGCACACCCTTTTATTTCTGTAGTTAAATCCAAATCTGGACAGGAGTCTGCCCATATGAAGTCAGAGTCCTGTAGCTATTTCTCACCACTCCATCTCCATCAGCATGTCTCTGGTTGTGTATCCCATGGCTGAACCCTTTCTGCTTCCTTTCTGTCCCCTCCGCTGCTTACTCCTAGAATAATTGACTTTTTTTCTAATTAATTTAATTTTTACAAGATTCTCCATTTTGTGCATTTTTTCACCTCGGTTGTAATCCCCATGGTCTTCCACCAACAGTTTACCTGTGTGCCATCACCACAGTCCTGTACACTCTTCCCACCCCAGTTTTGATCCTAGAATAGTTGAATTTTACAAAACGCAAAAGGGATAATAGAGACCAGCGAAGTTTATCTGTTCATTCGCAGATTACAGATTGGGGCTCTACTTTTAGGGACTTTCTCAAGACCCATTTGAGGGCTTCCCTAGACCTGTGGACTTTTGTGAGGTGTGAATATTTGTATCACATGGAGCCAAATGATTCTGAAAATTGGAGGCCTACTGCGTCTTCTCTCAGTGCTCAGCAGCCCCAGAGAAGGAAAGATCAACTAACCTACTGTATGGATCCCCAAGTTGTCCTCTGAACTTTTCCAGTGCTCAGCTATTCATTTTATTCAGTACATATACTAAGCTCTATCCAAGAGCAAGGTGAGAGAAGAACACACTGATGAAAATAGTAACTATAGATATATATTTGGAGATGCTTTCATCTCTTATATTCATTCAAGAAACACTGATCAATCTCTGTTATGCACTTAAGCGTGGGCCAAGGAGACAGTAATGATAGGATGAATACTCTTTACTTTCATGGGTCTTATATTTTAGAAAGAAATGTAAATTAAAAATAAGGGACTACAGAAATAAGTACAGTTTATAATAAAGTTTCTGTGAAACTTCTCTACATGAAGCGGTCAGGGCAGGCATCATTGAGAAGGTTGTTTTAAGCTGGTTCCGACCGTAAGAGAGAGATCATCAGATAAAGAATGAAGACAGAATGTTCCCAGCTTAGGAAATAGTATTTACAAAGATGCCGAGGCAGAAAAAGTCTCATAATGAGAAGAACCATCCTCATGGACACATTCCTTGCCCTCATCCTTCTGGGCAGCCACAGAGTCTACCTGTTAGAAAGGGAATAGGTGAATCAATTTCTCAGCATGACAGGTAATTTTTCACATTTGCCTCTTCCAGAAATGGTTTAAGCAGCGTCTGGCCCAGTGGCGGAGGTCAGAAGGCCTACCATCAGAATGCAGATCTGTTACGGACTAACGAGATGGTGGACATCAGCGGCTTCCCTAACGGACAGCATCTCCTTGGCTCAACCAAGCTGTTTCAGTTTTTCAGTGTAGTGTTGTATGTTCCAATGTCAGCTGACCTGCTATTTAACACAATGTTGTATTTTTTTTTTAAATGTATATAACTAGAAAAGAAATAACAGGAAGCTCTGTGCAGCTTCTGGCTAGGAAAGTGGTGTGGCTTGCATTTCTCTTCTGTTCATGATGATAGATGGTTTGAAACCATCTAACTTCACTTTTCACCATCATGTCCTACTAGCAAATTTACTTTCACTTTCTGTTTCAGAATAGGTGGGGTCTACATGGAAAAGATCATATGACCAAGAGGGAGAAACATTTCTTTCTGTATCTGTTTCCTAAGTTGTTGTTTTTATGGTTCATTGACTACATTGAGGTTAAGTGGGAATACAGAGGGATATTTGAGTCATTCAGATTTTATAAAGCAATTTCTCAATGAAGGCTGTTTTAATTGAAAATGCATTCAGTTAGGCTAGCAGAAAGAAACTCCAACTGGAAGAAAAGCAAGCAACTAAAAAAAAAATCTATAAAAGTGTTGAATTTACCTTATTTAAATGTTTTGTTAAATTTATTTTGCTAAACAAGATGAGCTGCTCTTTGACTCTAAAATGATATTCCAAATAAAAACTTAACATTTTGTTGAAAATGCACTGAGTCCTTTGCAGATTTTTAAACTGAATAGTAAGTTTTAAAGGAAAAGCAGAATAGCTCCAATGCAGAAGCAGAGTGACCAAAAAATCTGTCATTTTCTAAATTCTTGCTCAAAGTGTGGCCCAGGCCACTGTGGATGTTAACTGCAATCTTGCAAGTAATGCACAACAGCACACTCCTACCCAGACACACTGAATCAGAACCTGCCTTTCCTACAAGGTCCCCAGGTCATGTATATGCCTATCAGATTTGAGCAGCGCTGGTCTATGGGCCTCCATTTTCTAGCATAGTGCATTAAATATCTTAAATCATCCATCAGTAATGATTGCATGGAACGGTAACTTGATTATAGTGGATTAACCAAATGGCTTTTCATTTGTTTGTTTAATTGATGGATTGCTTTTACATATGACATCAGCAACTTGGCAGTGCCCAGACGTTGTCAGGGGCCTACAGGCATTCTATCTTTCTGCTTTTTTTTACCTTTAGCAGGGGGCTCTTGTGATGGCGGGTACAAGTTGGAGGGTTGGACACTGATCTACATTTCAAGAAAAAAGCAAAAAGAGAAGGGCAAATGCTATTTAAGTCTCTTCCTCTTAGTAAGGGATTCTTAGAAGACTAACCTAAAAAATCCACCTACATCACAGCCCCTGAAGGGCTTCCATGTTGGTAGGGGTCCTTCGTGGGGACCACAGCTTTAGTCTACTTGACCTCACTGATGGCCTAAAGTTGGTGGCCATTGGGTTAAATGCCATTCCTCTTTACATGGCAAGGGAACAAAAAAATGGATTTAAAAAATATATATTTATGCATACAGAACTGGGGTACAGACCAGAGGTGTGGTGGATGAGAGGATTCACCAGAGACAGAGTGGGGAGCAGAACAGGCAGATCTACTGAAATACACTGCTGAGGAGAGCAGCGGGTAGATTAGAGGAGGTCTGCCATGCCCTGTGAGTTAGCTCCCTGGCTGGGAATTGAACTCATGCTGCAGTGGCTTGGAGAGCTTCAAAATGTAGTGCTTTAACCCATTGCGCCACCAGGGAGGGCCCAGGAAGTGGATATTTTTAATTGGGAAGACTGTGCCTTGAGTAAAATTAGGATCTCTTGGTAAGAAAGAAGAGGGGATGGATACTGGAAAGGGGCCGGTAGCCTCTGCAGGCATAGTCTGGAGTAACTGGTATGTGCTTCTGAACTCTTACCTACAAAAGAGCACAGGCCTTTCGGTTCTTTAAAATAAAGAGTCCCAGATAAGAATCACTAACAGTTATTCAGAATACAAATATTTACATTGACTCTGGGAGGGAATCCTATTAAACATCCTTGGCAAGCTTCCTTTTCCTCTACCTTAAAGCATTTCTTCTGTAAACAATACACAGTGAACTTGGGACTGAGCAGAAAGCCTCTCTGGCAGGTTCCCCTGCAGCCTAATCAGTGGCCATCTGAGCATTCAGCAGCAACCGGGGTGGGTGCTGACATCCATTCCGGAGAGAAAGGCGAAGGCGGGACAAGACAGAAATGTACACACATCATAAATAAGTACTTAGAAAAAGCATTCTTTACATTTCTGAACTTTCATTGATGTTGGTTAATGAACAGACCTTGGAAAAAAACAGGGAGGGAAAAAAACATGCTGCTAATATGATCATGAACTAAGCAGACACAGAGTTCAGGGATTCGTCCATATTTGGCAATGAAAGAGTTGCTACGCCAGTTCCATGATCTAGTCCAGAGTCCTTCTAGCATACCAGAGACGTGACTCAAGAACAATCCATCTAGAACAAGTAAGCCAGGTGGGCAGAGAGTATGCCTTTAGCCTGGGGTCGAGAAGCATCATTTGAGACTTCAAAAGATCATGTGCTTATCAGGCCCAAGCATCAAAAGTCTTTAATGACACATGTGGAAGGAATTGGGACTGAGTGTCCTTTGATTGGATGATTTTTTAATAAGCACCAGACTTTCTTATTCATTCATGCTTTGTATCTGAAGTACACCTCAACGACATCCTGGGCCTGAGATTCTTTACCCTAGTCCTTCACCATTAAACAACTGCAACCACGTTGTAGGGTTTTCCCTCTGTAAATATTACATGAGCCGACCAGCTTCCCTAGTTTCTTGTTGCCATCAACTTTAGGCCATCAGTGAAGCTGAGGAGACTGCTGCAGTGCTCAGCATGAAGCACTAGGTTCACCACAGTCGGATGCAAGTACACAAAGAGGAGCTTGGTGCTTGTCTAAGCCCTTGGCAACTTTGCGAATTCTGCTAGTCCCTTGTGAATGAAGCTGCCGTTAGCACCTCTTGCAAGGCAGCAAGAATGTCTCCTACGATTCAGCAGCATAACGTTGGCCATAACAATGGCTTACTGGTGGATCTGAATCTGTTACCGAGCAAAGTTCTAAAACTGTCACCAGGTCAGAAATTCTCTGACCACTCACCACTAATGCAAACAAAAGAGCTTTTGATGCAGCAAAAGAAAAAAAATAAAATGATTTATTTTAGCCAACAGGGGAGAGCGAGAAGGTCCAGGAACCAAGCCACGGTGTGAAGTGGAGCTACAACTATCAGAGCCAGCAGAGGCAGCAAGGTCTGCTGCATTTAGAGCCAGGGTCTCTGGCAGCCTGTGGCAAGGTCACGCCAAGACAGGGGAGAGGCCTGCCCCTCGGAGGCCCCTCCCCTGGAGAAGGGAGAAATGTCTGCTGCCTGACCAGCTGGCGCCACAGTTACAATCAACTGCTGCGCTAAGGACAAAGAGTGAGCCCACATTAAACTGGTAGTCCCTAGGTGAGGCTCCCAATGGGCCACTCCGCCTCACTCCTCCCCAAAGTTCCCTCGCTCAGGGTGTGGGGCAGAGTGTGGCCCCTCGTCCTGGCCGGATCAGCCTGCAAGCCATGGTGGCCATCAGAGGACCGAGGCAAGGAGGTCTGAGCCCTTCCAGGTCATGCCAACAAATCTTGAATGCACCCAAGCTGATTCGGCAGCATCAAGGAAACAGCAGGTCTTTTTCCATGTGAATTTGTTCCCAGTATTAACCTTAGGTTTACTTCTCAACTCAAACCAAGGATAGCAATACTCTAAAAAAAAAAATACTTCATAACTAGTAGTAACGATTACCACTGCTACAGAGAACTAACGAGGAGAGAACAAGACTCATTTTGCTGCCCAATGTAAGCGCTAATGAGTGCCCAGAACTCTAACTTTTATCATCTCATTTTATTACTTATGTCTTATTAAATTTTATTATCTCTTCTGAACACCCAGGATCACACACAAAAGTGATAACGCTCTTCCCAAACTGGGAAAACTGCCTGAAGTAGGACGGGGTGTCCTAGTTCTGCCGTTGTGCTGAGAACTACTCTCCCAGACTGATAATTACTCCCACCCCCTTCTCTGCTGGTGCCTTTCTCGACTGAGGTTGTAGAGACTGGGAACCATGAAACACCCCCTTCTCTATCCTGCCTCCAGGGTGGAGGTCACGTAACCCCTTTCATCGTGATGTCAGAGACTGGAACTATTTGAGAACAAAAGGCCAAATATTAAACAATAAAGGCTCCTACTATTCTGATGACTTAGGAAATTGCCTGGGCTTTAGGAGTTATCTGCCAGGATCAGGACAAACATCAACAAGCCTTAGGTTGAAGATGTGGGGAGGGGGAGTCTCTGGGTAAAAAGTACAGGGGGTAGCAGGCTCTGCCCTTTTTCTGTAAACAGTTTCATGTGTTAATTGTAGAAACAGACATAAAAAATGAAACATATAATAAAACCAACAAAACCCATAAATTACCCATGATCCCATCTCCCAGAGGTACCCATTTATTACCCTTAATACCATGTTATACCATATTGAAGGGAGGCAAGTTTTTGATGTTTTGGATCAGAGGTTCCCATGAACCCTCTTCAGGTTGGATTAATTTGCTAGAACAGCTCATGGAACTCAGGAAAACAGTTTACTTATTAGGGTTACCACATTACAGGGCAGGGACAGGGGAACCTGTGAACCCCCAAACCTGCCTGCTGTAAATGTGTTCTGCCATCCACTGCATCAAGACAAAACATATAAGACTTTAATGAAAAGGAACTTTAATACAGTGAGTATATGATACAGAAGACAAAGAATATAATGTCTAAATCAAACACCTGAAGTTACCATCCCCTCATGGGCAAAAGTGAACCCAAAAGGGATTGACTCAAAACAAGGCTTGAAAGCTGCCACAAGATTAAAGCACCTTCTGGCCGGGACCCATGGAAAAGGATCAGAAATGGCCAGACAAGTCTTGGAGGAAAAGAGCAAAATCAAAATCAATGTAAACACTGCCTTAGTCAACCTCCCCATGGGTCTCTCACCCACATCTCTTTCAACCAGTCCAGGGCCGAGAAATAAACACGGTTTGGGAACCTGGAACTTCCCTTTTCCTGGGGACCACCCTGCTACAGCCACTCTGTTATAAGGAAGGTAACTCAGAGCATCCAGCTGGAAGAGGTGCACAGGGCGAGGTGTGCGGGAATGGCTACAGCGAGGACCTCTCAGGGCAAGCCACCCTCCAGCACCTACACTTGTTCACCAAACCCTATACTTTAGGGATTTTTCTGGAGGCTTCCTCATGTAGACATAGTAGATGTAATCGTTGGCTGTCCAGGATTAAACTCCAGTCCTCTGCCCCTCCCTGGAGGGAGGGCTGATGGGAATGGGCCTGAAAGGTCAAACCCTCTAATCACAGGGCTGGTTTCCTTAGCAACCAGGTCCTGTCCTGTTTTTATCTAGGGGCTTTCCAAAGGTGACCTCATTAACATAACTCAGGTGTGCTTGAAAGGACTTGTTATGAATAAGGAAACATGCCATTCAACTTTATCATTGTTGAACAACT